TCATCCTTCCACCCGTACTTACATGCTTATTGCTATATGCATTCTTCTCTTGATGTAATTTTTGATTTTATAAATTCATGAGCATCATCTATAGTTTTATTTTCAGTAACGGACCAAGTCAAAGCTTTTCATTGTTCCGTAACTATAAGGTCATAGTGAGGTCATATACGAACACTATAACATTACTGTTCGTTCGAATGACTGATGAAACTGTAGGTCCGAATCAGTGATTACTGCTTATACCAATGATTATATCGCACTAGTATAAGTGACAACTCAAAAATTGGTGTTCCTGTAAGTAGGAAGTTCTGGACAAGACCTATAGCTGATTTGATAATTCATTCTATTATGTCCTCTATCAGTCACTTTTTAGGTTTCACAAAGGATGCTTGTTCTCTGATTCGTTCCTACTTGATTGGTAGAAGTCAAATAATTCAGGTAGGAAATGTTATTTCGAGCTTTTCTTTATCTTTGGAGATGGGAGTTCCACAGCAGCCCGTACTTATACCCGTACTCTATACCCGTAGGTATATAAGATATGTGAAATTTCGATGCTTGATGTGTCTATAATCTGAGAGGTGTTTTCTACTGATTCCCATAGATGGAATTGTGGAGTATTCATAACTCTACGGTCTTCCACCTGGAGTCACAAGAAGATGCTTGGGGGTTGAAATCGTTGCCTCACTTCGATGGACGTGGTGCGACTGACGAGTTCCTTGCAGAACGAAACATATATGTCACGCACTTCCATCAGGTGTGGCATCGATTTCAATATTTCTCTAACATTTATCCCTTGAAGGATAATGGAGGCATCACATCGTGCAGGTTCACATATCTAGCTCTTCTATAACATTCTCTTGATTAATTTGAATTTTTCGAATGAATGTTCTAGTGTTCATTTTCTTAAATATATATATATATATATATATATATATATATATATATATATATATATATATATATATATATATATATATATATATATATATATATATATATAGTACAACAATATTCATATAAATAACATATATATAAAATCATATATTTCTTGAAATTGATTTATTGCCTGTTTAAGATATTTATTTTTGTTGACGTTTCGTAGTTATATTACAACTTTGTCAAAACTAATGAATAATTGAATTTATGAGTTACTATGGATATCAAATGTCAAACTTATTTTTTAGAAAAATCAAATGAGTTTTTTTGTATCTTCACTCATTGATTTTCATTATCAGAGGAATATTTCTGGCTTAGCATTTGCTTCGGAAGTTTCAGTCTTCTTCACCATGAGGAAACCTCTGAAAAACTCATGGTAAGCCAGGTGATTCTATAAGTGTGATTTATATTTATATATATATATATATATATATATATATATATATATATATATATATATATATATATATATATATATATATATATATATATATACACAATTACATATAGTTTTACATATATCTATCCAGAATGTGTATATTGTTCGTTTATGTGTGTGAAATTGAAGGTAGATCTGGAAAAAATGAGTTGTGAGATGTGATGCTTGGTAATTATTGTGTGTTTATTCAACGAGTGTTATTTGTGAGGTTTTATCAAGTTGTTGTAGATGGAATTTAGATGTTTAATGTCTGTTCTTTCATTTACTAAGCCAGAAGTATTCCTCTGATAATGAAAATCAATGAGTGAGGATACAAAAACACTAATTTGATTTTTCTAAAAAATAAGTTTGACATTTGATATCCATAGTAACTCATAAATTCAATTATTCATTAGTTTTGACAAAGTTGTAATATAACAACGAAACGTCAACAAAAATTAACTTTTTCATATTAAATAAGCCTGTTATTGCTAAAAACTTTCAAAATAAAATAATATATATATATATATATATATATATATATATATATATATATAAATAAATAACAATATTATAAAAAATAATATTGTTTATAATAATTTGAATTTTTGGATATTTTGTGATATCTTCATATATTTCATGACAATTGGCATGTTAAAATATTCGATAATATTATCGAATTTGAAATTAAGGCTTCACCTATTGGTATAGACCAGTAGTAAATGTGTACTCGAAATGTAGTTGTGAAAGAACTATTCATAACTTAACAGTTTTGTACGTTAGAGTCATAATGAGGTGAATGTTGATTGACGTTGCTGCCTCACTCAGCGAGTGACCAAAAACTATTGATTGCAAAACTATTCAATCTTATATTTCGAAAAGAGTACAGATAAACAAATATATCATTATGCTTTTACATAAATTATCTACATGAAACATTTTTCTTGATGAATTCATCGTTATGTTCAGATTCGACCACATTTCTTCTGCGGATACTTTAGCTATCTTCCCGCACAGAGCGCGGTTTTTTTTATTTCTGCCGTCTTCACACTCGGAAGCGATTTCATTTTATATATAATGTCACCTTTTTCATCAATCACAGGACCGATGAGACATGAGAGATGTGTCTCTTTTCTAATCGGTCTCTTTACTGCCGTGCATCCAATGTATTTCATTCCTTCATCTGTTTGAGCATTGAAATTTATTTTTTCATCATCAATCATACCGACGAGACTTCTTCACAACCTCATGTCGAATCCCCGAGGCGAATACCATATAATGCCGAAACAGTATGGAGTGAATCAGAAAATCGTAAATAATCAAACTGAGAATTCGAACTGAGTTATACACACTGAGAATTCGAACTGTATACAATACATGCGTACAATATACACATTATTAAACAAATTGATACAAAATTTTAGTAACTTTATCTGTTCAAACTTTTAATAACTAAGAACTGTTCTCAGAAATTCTGTTTCTAATTGAATGCTGCAAGATTGAAACTTCGCAAGTCACGGCCACTGAACGCATTCGGGTGAATTTTCGTGAAAACATTCTTGACCATTCGAAATAATCAACTTTTAATTTTTATCGTTCTCAATTTTTTAATTGTTTCATTAAAAATGAATAATCATAATATTTTTGGCGTTCTGTTCATATTCTGATGAGAAATCTATTTTCACGATTTAATATTCAGGAAAAAGGATTCCGCACTCACAGCAAATACACGTTTGTAGTAGGTCCACAAGGGGCTTCAGAAGGTACAGGACTAAAGAAGGGATAGCAGCTAGTGTATGACTTCCATTGCAGTATAATAGTATATAGAATTTTCTCATAATCTGTTACATATACGCATGACGCCGTTTCGAATTACGACTTGTTTATCAAATGCTACATCAATTTAGTATTTGATGAATAAGTAGTACATCGGAACGCCGTCATAACGTAATAACTTGGTCATGGACCACTGCGCTGGAAGAAAACGTTGTGATAACCGTTTGTTGTCGAACAGTCTGAAATTTTTATTCGGAACGAGCTTGAATCATCTTTATTTCGAATCGAATTAGAAAATGGTGTCTAAATTCGTCAACAAATCAACCCAAACCAATAATAATAGAGAAATTGGGCAATTCAATGGTTATCAATGCCAGTTCAGTTATCAGATTTGCGAATACTTCAGCTCACGTCTTTACTCGGTTCACGACTTTATGAGTCGATAATATTTCATCAGAATTGGGTCTCATCTTGTTAATACATGGTTTAAGCTTTAGCATCCCAGCCGTATAGCTTTCAAAGTATGATGACATCGTAGTCTGGAAAGTGAACGATTTCTGAGTAGGTATTTGATGCACTCTATCTTCACCATGGTGAAGAAGACTAAAACTTCCGAAGCGAATGCTAAGCCAGAAATATTCCTCTGATAATGAAAATCAATAAGTGAAGATACAAAAAAACTAATTTGATTTTTCTAAAAAATGAGTTTGACATTTGATATCTATAGTAACTCATATATTCAATTATTCATTAGTTTTGACGAAGTTGTAATATAACAACGAAACGTCAACAAAAATAAACTTTTTCATATCAAAAAAAACCTGTTATTGCTAAAAACTTTCGAAATAAAATATCTTAAACAGGCAATAAATCAATTTCAAGATATATATATATATATATATATATATATATATATATATATATATATATGCGCTATGAATTACCCGTTTACATGTTCCGCAAGCTTTTTGAAAAGCAAATCGACCAGTTGTGGCTTCTGAACGAACACTACAAAGATATTTCAAAAAGTGAAAATTGGAAACAGAGAACGAATATCACGGTATATCCTTGCACTCTGAATTAGCCGCTTTTAGGTGATTCAAGCTTGTTGGCTCTCGTCAGGAAGGCGTATAGATCATGTTTCATAGGTACGGATTTGATTGACGAAAATTGAAAAACACGCGCTAATATAAACCTTTTGTGTCTTCTGAATGATCACTTCGATATTTGGAGGCATACTCACTTTTCGCCAGTGCGGAAATCTTACTTGTGACTTTCGGAGTTTGCAAGCCGACAATTGAGATATTTCAAAGAGTTTCAAGAAGGTTTTTTTCAACTATTTCACTTGAGAGCTTACTTTGAACGCCAGTTATCATTTCAGAAGCACTCTGTGCTTGTGAGATTTTTGGTTCTATAGTTTGATGCTGTTCTCGAACGATCCAAGAACACAAAGGCGATTTTTTTTTGTTTTCAACAGTCAACACAACGCAAAGTCATCTATTGAAACAAGCGTAATACACAATATATTCTGTTTGAAATGATTGCTGTCTGTTCGATACTGCGACTCTTCAATTTGTGTTGTGAATTTCATAAATTTTGTAGTTGTGCATGTAACTTCTCGAAAAGAAACACTTTCATTATCTGCTCAGGTAGGTACCTAAACATGTTTTTTCTTTTCTTTCTGAAGGTCTTTTTCAGACCTTCAAACCTATTCACCTGACTGCAGATCAAATTTATAGAAGGAATATAACTGAGAGACATATGTTAGGATATCGAAATAACCTGAAATTTAGCCATAGGTATTTCACGAGTGATGAGCGTAATCAATACCAAGTGGTTCATATAATTGATGATTGCTCAATGTATGCAAGGTTCGTTAGCTCAGTTGGTAGAGCACCAGGCTCCATATATTTCACTGGTGGTCGTAGGTTCAAGTCCTACGCGGGCCTTTTTTTTCATGATTTGATGAATAAATCATGTGCGTATTTCAGTAAAATTGACATCGAGATTTTTTCTATATAGGTTGAATATATCTATTTATCGAATATATTTCGAAGGAAAGTTTGTTTCATTTTCAAAATCACTTAATCGAATACCTTGAACTGTAGAAATGCCTATCGCTTGTTGAACGTGACATAACTGAAGAGTTCCGTGTAGATCGAAACGTAGGTTTCGATCTACATATAGGTAGATACAAATATATATAAATACATATAGGTAGATAGAACATGTAGGTTTCGCATATCGATACAGTAGGTTTACTGTATGGATATGCGAAAATGCAACTGTCAGGATTGCTGCCAGTTGAAATTTTTTCATAAAATACGACATAATTGCTTGTATTCGATCTTGGAATGACTGCGGATATCATCCATCAGACATTAAAATTATTGTACCATCAAAAATTTTCTAATCTTTGAGCAGATCTCTTAAGGTTCTACCGAAAGAGTCGTATCTGTTCGCCATTAGGCATTAGTCACAGATGCTGGTTTTTGAAGGTACTAAATACTTTACCACTTACGGACATTATTCTACATTTTTCAAACCGATACGCCATTATTCGATCAATATTTCAAATACTCATCGATTCAAAACATTCAATATAAATGAAAGCATTTATTTTTATACGTTCTCCAATATAATGGGAGATTTAACCGTATGGACGGAATGAACAACAAATGTTTTTCAAATGGGTACATATTTTGTACGGAAAAATGAGTTTTTTTTCATTCAATTCCATCGACAATTTTCCAATGTTTTCAATGAGTAGTTATTCTGCTATTCGGGAACTGCACAAATATATCAAATCTAGAAACATGGGAATCGGTCTAGCCTTTCTCGAGTTATGAGTGTTAAAACAAATCCGACTTCACTTCATTCATTATAAAACTATTTCTATATTTTCTGATATTTAAAATCTATTTGTCATGAAATTTTATTTTCTTCTTCACAATTCGAATAATAGATTATCGAGTACACCTTGTGCATCTTCAACGAGTAATATTCAAATGATAAGTATAATTTTATTATTGAGTATTTCTATTCTTTTAGTTTTATTAAGTGTCGAGTATTTGATGTTGCTGTAGCCATCAAATTCTTCTATGATATTTGAAATCTGTTGTAGTTGTAGTCATTTCAAAATCATCATTGCAATTTGAGGTTAGTACAATTTTCAATTTTCTGATATTTGTTTCATTTCAGTTTTCTTCAATAATGAGTGTTTAAGATTGTTCTTGCCTTCCTCTTCGAACACAGATGATAATTTCTTCCTATAAATGACTCAAACGAAGGGAAATAGTGGTGTGTATTATGTGGAGGTTTATATAAAAGATGGTAAGGAGTATAATGACCAGGGAACTGGATTTGCGGAAGTGGATAGATGATGATGATGATGAATCATTTACTTACATGTTCACACAGTTGCTCCTGTTGTACAGCAATTAAGTAATAAACGTAATAAGTTTCATAATAAAATTATTCTTAGGTAGGTTTATATAAATATGAGATTGAAGTATTATGTTGTGAAGTTCACAGTCACGTATTGTTACTAACAGTTGAATTGATCATGTACAGCCACAATTAAATGACCGAGGAAAATGGCGGAAGTTAGGCGGAATGTATGATCAAATGTCAGAAGGGAAAAAACTAACACTGGATCAGAAGAAGGAGATAACCAGAATTTTCCACAATCACCGTTTCAACTGAATGCTTTAGATGCCGGTACAAAGTGGACGCCTCACGCCTTTTATGAAAATTGAATGAACCATCGCATGAATATTGCAGTAATCCGACTTGTTAGTGAATACATGCACCATACAAATAAGTTGGCCCTCTCAGAATATTTCGTACCTCTTATTAGGGTGATATTCCCTTGAAGTGAAATGATCTGGACGAATTGTTATTGAGAAATATATGAATAAAATATTTTTTAATTTTGTTGGTTCATAGTCGCTATATGGTAGTAAACCTAATGTTTACATATTTATGAAGCATGGTCCACCGAAAGTTTATCTCGTTATTTATCTGAACGCTTCAATTCTTTTCAGAGAGTTATTGAAGAGATGAAAAAATATTGTACTACACATTATTCTGCAAAGTTCATTTTACTCGAAGTGAAAAAATAGAGAACACGTCATATTAGCATTGTATTTTCAGAATTGATGTAACTACAAGGAGAACCCTTTTATCTCTTAGTAATTTGTTATAATATTACTATAATATGGGAAATATTTCATCAGACAATATTGATTGGTATCACATATATTTGATATTTCCGTGTGAGTCATACTCTTGAAGATATTATTGAGACAAGCTTTTCTGAAGATATGGACATGAAGAATAAGATCCCAGGGCGATCTGACATAACATATTTCCACATAAATGAAACCTCAGGTTTCTAGTATCGTCTTATGCGCTTTGAATACCTGTGAGTTTGTGGACCTCGCTCTATAACACCTGGGCTCGAACTAGGCGAGAAAGGTAATAAGTGACTTAATTTGAGTTTTTATGGCTGATTTTCATGAAGGTTGTGGAATATTTTTCTGAAGTAGTTTCCATAAGTGTCAAACACTTTCCATGGACCAGAACTTTTGTCAGACGACTCAAAGCTTTATAAAAACGCACGAGGTTCACCTATTTCTGTCAGATTTCGATATTTTTTATCAAGATAAGTACTGAAAAGTTATACCTCATCAGTCAAATAAATTGTAGTAAACAAATATCCCCTAAACACAAGTAATTATTCAGAGCGAACATAGTAACTCGGTTACCCTTCTTAAACGCACAACACGACACAACACTGTCGGTAAAATTTATAGGAACGTGGGCTCAATACTTCACATAAATTATAAAATCGAAATTCATTTCCGTCCAGTAGCGAAAAACCTTGAACTTCGGAAAATAGACGGTGAAGAACAATGGAGGTTACTGAGGTAGAAGGTGGAATTTACATGAAAGAACCCAAGACGACTGATGATTTGTAAATTTCTATTCGTGAAGCAGAAGAAACACTGCTCGTACATTCACAATTATACAAAAACTTTGATATAATTTGAATGCTGAGCCATGCTAACTAATTAGAAACTCTACCGAGCGCAATAACTCTGTTCTCGTTCTCATATTCCTGACTGAATAATTTTGTTCAGAAAATGTTATGAAATAGTAATGTGGCCATTACTATTTGTCTGACTGATACTTTTTCGTTGCTTTTCTTGAAGCTGATATTATTAGCCATGTACATTGGCCTTCTTGATTATCTGCGCCTTTTTTGCCTGTAATGTTTTCACCATAGCAATCCATATAGTCATTCTGAAAACAAAGAAGTTGTCGGGGTTTATAAGGATGTACACCCAAACTCTGTTCAGTGTGAACAACTTTAATTAATATAACTATTTACAACTAAATACATTTAAGTGCATTAATTTTCTTCTTCTTCCTTGCTGTGACTAGTCTATCGGTTGGTGCATCCAGTGGCAGGACTAGTCGTCGCATACTCCCCACGCAGTGTCACACATAGTTAGCATAACATGTTGGAACATACCTGTATACTTTATGAAAATCTAATATGGTTGGCAATGTAGTCCAATGTTCTATGCAATTATGGCTGATTTCAGTGGACGGTGGAATTCTTCGATTAGGCCTTTCGATTGCGGATAGTAAGGAGTGGTCCCTATTTTTGAATCCCTTGTGGATGAGCTGATTGATGTGAGAGATTACTTTTGAACTGCCGTCCTTGATCCGTTGTGAATCGCGAAGATTTTCCAATACGTGATTTCCAATTCTCGTAGAATTTTGTCGCAATTGTATCTGCTGTGATATCTGCAATTAGAACAGCTTCTGGCCATTTTATGAATTCATCTGTCATTGTCAAATAATAACTTGTATATTTTGAAGAAGGTAGAGGAACTACTATATCGAGGTGGACATGGTCAAATCTTTTCGATTGGTCAGTGAGTGAAATTACTGTTTAGCGTGAATTCTGCTTTTCTATAACTTAACATTTACTCGATCATTCGTTGCAGTCTTTATAATTTATATAAAGTCAAGTGAAAAACAATTTAATAAATTTGTTCGTAGCCCTAATTTCTATATTAGAAATGTGTAATTTCGAAAACCTGGCGCCGATACCTCATTGGTATATACTGGCTTTACTTGCCTGGCTTTAGTTACCGCTTGAGAAACCGAAGTTTTGTACTGTTTTACCAAATTGGTTGCAATTTTGATGAAACACGTGCAATTCTAACAAAAAAAAACTGTTTGTGAGTATTTCAGTATGAAAATATTACCAATATGAGAAGATTTAACTAATTGCCCTTACCTCTGTACTAAAGTTGGTCGTTGCGTCGATCACGCCAGGGGTCACCAATGTTGGGGTTTATTAGGATGTATACCGAAACTCTGTTCAGTGTGAACAACTTTAATTAATATAACTGTCATGTTGACTGCTTGGCGACTAGCGCCGAAGTCGACGAGATCTTGTTATCTTCTCCTGTGGTTGCGTCCCGAGCATGCGTAGTCGTCTTTTCTTCTTCTTCCTTGCTGTTATTAGTCTATCGGTTGGTGCATTCAGTGGCAGGATGTGATTAGTCGCCGCAAAGTGTATAATCGGTATGATAACGTGTATGATGATCGGTATGAGAATATGTCTGTGAAAATGTGAAAACAATAATAGAATGTGAAAATTATAATAAAAATATACCTCTATTCAAAGACTGGGTTTACAACAAGCTAGGAGTAGCTAATTCAGTAGCGCTGACTCATGAAAATATTGGGGAGCACAACGGATTGAAAACTTTATTGTATTGTTGAAATACAGTTCTAAACTATTACTGATATTTTGAAATTGAAAATTCAACCTTCTGTGTGAATTTAATTTTTTATTACATAAAACTTCTCAACATTTCTCTAAATACCATAATCAGAGCATAAGCGTCTCAAGGAAGGTGCAGCT